AAGCATGGAGTCTTTCTCAGTGCAGAGTCCTATATGATTAAATCGCACAGGTCACTTACCCATGAAGCGGGGCCTGCAACTTAGTCTTTTTCAGCGACAGTTATGAAATACCAAGACTATAGTTATCTTTGTCCCTTGAATCCTTAGTACTCGACTAGGCAGATAGTAAGGAATCCAATGTGTATTGAATGCAAAAATGAGGCTTGAGTTTTCCAAATCAGTGAGAAATCCTTAGTTACCAATGGTGAGGTTCTCACCCTGATGAATACAGTATTCATTATAATAAAAAATGATGGATTCTTCTAGTGCCGAATAATTTCCATGTCACATTCTGGCTTTATGGGAATTTGAGGTCATATATGGTGATGGTTCATTTAATTCATTCAACAAATGTTTATTGAACAACTATTCTGTCAGATCCTGTACCAGGCACTGGGGATACAAGAATAAATAGACAGTCCCTGCCCTCAAGGAGCTTACAGTCTAGCGTAAGAACATACAGCACCTCAGAACCTAGTGAGAAATCTTTCTGGTATCTAGTATATTTTCTGGAACACTCCAAATTTCCTGAAAATGTGAATCTAAAATTTCCCAGAAAGCAGAGTTTGGAAATGGAAGATGCAGTGAAACTGAAAATTCAAATATTTAACCTTTAATGTAAAAACCTGTAATATATACAAGGAAGAAATTTAGGAAAGCTGCAAAGTCTATAAATACTTTGAACCAAATTTAAATTTTAAAAATTATTTTATCATCTCTGGGTGACATGTTCGTTTACAGTGACACTTATATACACATATAGGAGGTGTTTGTGAGATGCTTTTGATAAAACCCTTATTTCTGTCAGTAACTAATTTACAACTAAAGAGCAGCATACAGGTAAATTTGTGACTTCTGATAATTTCCATTATAATTTGGGTGAAATTCTTAGGAATCCTCTTTATGGTATAAATTTTGGTACAGTTTTATTATGCAATGAAACTGTCTTTGTAACTATAAGTTAGCCATATATTTTAATGGTTATTGAGAAAGCTTAATGACATCAAAAATACTCTCTATCTGGATTTTATTTTCCATTGTTTTTCTTTTCTGCATTCTTTTTTTCTTAAAAACATAAAAGATACCTGTGCAAATACAGAGCTTTTGTTGTTGCTTGGCTGTACTTTGGTACATTGCAATTTATTCCTTGATCTAGGAGCATCCTTAGTTGGTAGTATTTTACTTAGTGGCAACTGAAAAAAATCACTAGCTTAGGCTTTATCTGGGAACTTCAGTTATCCAAAAGGTTATTGTGAACCTGTCAAAAAGGTGGTAAGCAACCAAAAGAGCTGTCTCACAGAATGTGTACTCAGAGCCATCTAGCTCTTCAGACACTTAGCAGGCTTGGTTATCTCCTGTCCCAACTCACAAAGGATGAACACACTGTAGAAGGAACTGGGGAGCCTGTTAAAGGTAGGCATATTGATAGTGTGGTAGGAGACAGAACAACTTAGCAGAATAAGCAAATTTTAAGCTAAAAAATCCAAACACCAACAATCTGAGGCAAATGACTATATGTACCTCAGGGCCAAAGGAATCACTATATAATTAATATTAACTCATTTGTATAGCCCTTTACATTTTATGAAGTGTTTTACATACATCAGAGCTCACTGGATTTTTATAATAACACATTACGAATATAATCTTTTCATCATGAAAAAGTGAATTATACTGAGCATGCTGTTTAAGAAGGCAGGGAGGTATACTAATATCTGAAAGATTTGCATCAAAAATAATTACAAGTTTTAAATTTTGGCACTTAGAGATACATATTAGTTATCCAAAAATTCATATGTGGTTTCCTTCATGACCAACACAGGGTGTTACTGAGTGTATTTTCATCTCTCAGTGACTGCTGGTCATCAAATGGGGATGATTGTCATCAATAAGTTATCAGACTATTTCTCCTTTTACACGCAAGCTTAAAATATACTTAAGGATGCCAATACCATATATTCTAATATGGGAAACATTAAGCATCTAAAAGATTCTGAGAGTTTTTCCTATATTGCACTTTCTACAAGACAAAACTGTAACAACGATACAATGTCATCTTGGTTCTAGACACAAGAGCAGGGAACATGTGATTTATCTTTTCCTTGCTTTTTTTTACTAAAATTTTTGGTATAGCCTCTTCTCAGGGATGTAACAAGAAATAACAAAATATACAAGTTCTTTGGGCTTCTAAGAAAAAAGACCACACAGATTTTCAAAAGACCAAGAGAGGTCTTCTCTACGTTAGCCACTTCATTTTCACAATTGAAATAGGAACTGCTGTATTATATTTGCTGTTCCTGAACTCATTCAACATTTCTATAAATATACTGTTATGCAGAAAGCTTTTTAAAACAGAATAATTTATACAATTACCAACAATAGTTATCCTCTATCACCAATTATAATACATTTCCAATAATCATGAATAAAAATGACTAAATAGAGTAAAACCTACCAGAACAGCTTTTATACTTCAAGTGAAATGAGAGCTTGAAATTGTGAGGTGTGATTTTCCCCTACTAGCATAGCATTCCTGATGCCTTTTAACTCCTTGATTAATTAGTATCCCCTGATACTTTTAGATTATGACCACACTGTAAAGAGAGAACAGTGATGGTTTTGTTGAGTTTGCTGGCTGTTAATTTTTCAGTTCTCATCTGTGTGGCTCTATTTTTATATAAGAATATTTATCCTCCATTTTCCCTTGTTTTATAGCTACGTATCCTGCTCAAGGTCTGTTAGTTGGAGAGTACTGTATGCCTACAGTTTATGGTATTCTAATGGAAAGTGTAAATCTTACGTTCTTTTACATGATGTAGAAGGTAAGCCAACTGTATAAAAAGAACTTCTAGATGATGCCAATTAAAAAAAAAATAGATGATGCCAATAAGTAAATGAACAGGCCAATTTCCCATCCTTTATAAATTAAAGGACAAAATAGTAGAGTAGTAAGCACAGGCTTTGGACTAAAACAGACCTGGGTTTGAATCATCCCAGTGCTGCCACACACTGCCCACTTTGACTTAAGGCAAATCATTTAACCCTTTGGATGCTCCATTTTCTCTAAAGTAAATCAGTGCCCCAGATTCACACTTTGCAAGGTATTTTACTAACGTAGTAAAACATGATCTGCTTGGTAATGATTAAAGAATCATGAACTGCATTTAGAGTTGGACAACATGTGGGCCCACCACTTACAACCCTCTCCAAAGGGGATGAAATTTATGATATTTATTTTTGATTATCAATACAATTATTGTAATTAGTAGCTTATTTTTGAATAGTAATATTGCTTGGTGTTTTTGCCTCCAAACTTTATTTTAAATATGTGTTTTTAAAGAAGTGTATGGCAAACCTGTTTTCACTGTGCTTTGTGGTAATTTTTTCAATGACCAAGACATTTGTAAATTTAAAAAATTTAAATGTTTTAAAAATACCTGATTTTAATTTTTGTCCTAGAGCCAACATTGTTCCTAGGGAGATGTAACCTCTACAGTGTATGTGTGAATGGTTTAATAGGTCCAACAAAAAAATGTCATTTTTATTCATGCATTTGGGTTACTTAAATATTTCTATGAGATTTTTAAATACTTCTTATGGCTGGAATTCTCAGCATCTACTCCCCTGCCTTCCTTTTTCAAATCTATTGGCCAGTTTAAGGGTATTCATAATAATACAACTTAAACACAAAATAATGTGTTCATAAGTCATTGTTTCAACAGAGAACATAATACAGTACAAATTGCCCTGAGCATGGAATTAGGAGACTTGAATTCATGTCCTGACTCTGCCACTGATTTTGCAGGTTTACCTTAGGCAAGTTCTCATTTGTCAAATAATGAGATTGATTCCATTTTAAGTTATTTTCTATCTCTGAAATTGCTTTCACTTTTTTTTTTTTTTCCCAATAATTTTCCACGTCTGGGAGTTGTGTTAAGCACCTGATAGGTACAGAAGTACTTACTGATTCTTAAGGTAGTATTTTTCAAACTGTGATCCATGGACCACCTGAATAAAGGTTACTTGGGGTTCTTGTTAATACAGATTCCTGTCTTCTCCCAGGCTAAACCAGAACCTGGTGAGGCTTCTGCATTTTCACAAGTTCCTCAATGATTATAATGCACTCTCATGTTTGAGAACCACTGGCCTAAGAGACTGTGATCTAAGAGGGTAAGACTAGCCCAAGGCTTAAATTACTGCAGCCTCTGGCATATCCCCTCTACACACAAAGCCATTCACTGTGAAGGAGACCAGAAGAAAGCTGCTTAAGCTCAGCAGAGCAGTTAGCCTGTGTTGACCCCTGCTTGATGCTTTTTATCTGCGTGTTCCATAGTGAAGCACAACAAAAGGTCTTCCTATCAGCTCTGAGTCTTACATCCAGGACACTCACTGATTGCCACGGTTATGAGAACAGCTTGAAAAGGACTGCAGTTCTCCCCTCACAAGTGGTAAGAGAGTTGAACTTGTGCCAGCTAGTTCAAGGAAGAAAAGATGAGTACAACACAATCTCTTGACTCCCTTTCTACTCCAATACTATAAAACATCACCCTGTGTGCTTCAAATAATGTGGCAGAAAACACATCTAAGTCACACTGTTCGCATCACTCTGGCCAGATAGATACTAATCTAATAAATATCCTCTTCTGTACAATAGAAATGACTGAAGCCATTCCTTCCCCTCTTTTCCTTTCTGATGTTGTTGACAGGAGCAAGATACCAATTAAGGACACATGCTAAAGATTTTTAAGTTCACACAAGTAAAGTAAATTACAAAGAGAGGTGGCAATATTTTTTTCTAGAATTTCACAACAAAAATTCCTCTCATGGTGCAAAATATGTATAATTTTAACAAGAAACTTAAATGACATTTTGTTGCAAGACTATCTAACAGTTATGAGAATAATGCCAGTATCTGTGCTCATTATAGAGAAAACAGCAACTTTAAAAGGCCGAGTACACCGATAAGTGAAGATAAAATTTCTTTTTCAACAACTGGTATGCTAACATCAACTTCTGGGTTTTATTCAGTATGAAGTCATGGGTTTCTCTTACTTCAACCTAAACTCCTGCCAAATGGCCACAAATTCACACCAAAAAAAAGGTGTGGGGGGTGGGCGGGGAGGAAAAAAGAAACTTGACAAGAGCTACCATGCAAAATAACCAGAAGAACTGAAGCTTAGTGGCACAGATCAGCAGGAGCAGAGGAATGCTGCAAAAGATGCTGCTGCATAGAGTCTAACTTGGCGATGCCCCTATGATGCTGGACGACCAAGTACTCAGGTCATAGTGTGTTCGTGGACCCATAAGAACCAGGATCTTGACCCAAACTTATAAGATCTTCTAAAAAGAAAATACTTCACCTAAATTGAAGTAATTTATAAGTCAGACACCAGAAGAGTTACTTATTTGATGTAAGTTGTGCCTAAAACTTTGGCTGATACAAAGAAACCCGTCCACTAAGGCACCCTGAGGCAATCTGACAATGTGTTGGAGAGAACTTTGTTGTCAGTACCACATCATTATGAGAGTACAGAGAACGGATCACCCGCAAGGGACTGGCTTCTTTGGGCAAACAGTCAATAAGTTCACTGCATTGTTTGTCAAATCCCAACAAGCGAATCCCATAGCCATGAGGGGAAGAAATCATTCGTCCATCAGGGCTGAAGCAAAGTTCTTTGATATAACCCCTGCCTACATTGGCTTCTTCAATGTAATGAGTCAGTCGTAGAGAACAGCGAGGTGAGACAGGTCGCACAGGAGCTCCTTCTTGGAATTCATAGACACAAGTCCACTAGGGGTAGAGGAGAGACAAAGTTATTGAGCTCCCAATAATGCTACAGATAGTCCTTATTTTAAAAAAAACTCAACAGAATGCCAAAGACATTCAGAATTGCTGAAACAGAACTGCTCCAAGAAATCACTCAAATGAATGCTACCACTCTCCCAACTAACAAAACTTGTAGGCCCCATACATTTCCTGAGGCAGCTGTGACTTCTGTAGTAATAACTTTTTTCCTGAAGACAAGAACAATCTTTTTTAAAATTCTACAGTTAAGACATCCAAGACCAGGAGTACCAACCCTCCTATACCATTCAAAGATTCTTCTCTCCTTATTTCTAGAAGTGCAGCTCCTAGAGCTAGTGAGATCCTCAGAAGACACCTGGCTTTACAGAATAACATTTGGGTTATCTGAGACTTTTTCCCCAGTCATCAGTTTAGTCCCTTCCTTTCCCAAAGTTTCCCCGAGTTTTTAGAAAGTGAAAAGGTATAATACTCAATTGGTTTAGCAAAACCTCACATTCAGCCAGCTTAGCTGGAACATCTCAATCCTGTTATGTTTGCTATATAAAGTTATTTTTTTACACTGAGATGAAGGATGCAAGACTTAAGACGCTGGACACCATCTGAGCTGATGGCTGTTTTAAAGTACTTCTCTACTTGCCACATTGAGGTTGGAGAGGAGGAAAAAGGGTTTTCAAGGGAGAGCGATACCGTGTGCACACATGGCACAGGTAACTTGTTCAGTCAGCCCTGCTGAAGGTGGAGTGCTGCTGCCTGTACCTCCTGATCGTCAGTATTGCTTGAGCACCGAAGAAGAGTGGCCCAGCCTTTTGGGTGCAGCTGTAAGGATGTGATGCAGTTTCCACGGTCTCTCTCACCAGGAACTTCAGGGGTCAAGACTTCAAGACTATTGCGTGGTGCAACTCCTGAGACACAAGAAAATAAGGACATAGAATTTATTTTTATCACAAGACTATTTGCTCAGCAAAGCTTTGATTTTTGGCATGCACTGCCATGCCTTCATGCCTGCCTTCTCTTCCCTTTTCACACCACATGTAGCGGAACATAGTGCTACTCAATGGATGGGGTGTAAGTGTGTTTTCCAGGTAGGGGGTATGCCTAGAACTAAAGAACCCAAGTTCCTACAGCAGGGATCACCAATAACCTAGTGCTAAGGCATTAAAGCTGACTAGACATTTTGATTTAGACATATCAAGAAGTAACAAAGTTATGTGACATAAAAGGAATCTGGAAAAGTAAAAGATAATTCTCATATCAGATGTGATTTCTCTAGTCCAGAGAAGGAAACACTTGGAAGCCACAAAGACCACATTCATAGAAATAAAAGGCTAGTGTGTGTGTGGAAGGTGCAGGCCTTTTGGCCCCCAAGGACAGTACAAAAACAAGTAGACTTTTAACTTTGGAGGTGAGGGAGGACATCTCACGTGGAGGCATGTTAAAACAAGGGGTGGGAGACCCTGCCAATCTTACATATCCCTGGAACTCTTCTATAGCCCATCATTTCCTTCTACCTTAACTCCAAATGAACTTGTCACTTGCAACATGGATTTAAGAGAGGACAATGTAAGTGAAATAAGTCAGAAAGAGAAAGACAGATACAAGATGGACTCACATGTGTAATACAGGGAAACAAAATAGTCAGACCAAACCAAACCAGTAACAGACCCTTGAGATCTGACTGCAAAACTGAGGCACCAGAAAGGTGGAGGGATGGAGAGGACCTCATGGAGTTTGGTGAAGGATTACTGGGGTTTTGGTGGCAGGCCTAGTGTGAAAATATATTTCAAAAGTTCTGGGCCTCCCCGGTGGCGCAGCGGTTGAGCGCTGGGTTGCGAAGCTGCCCGCAGCCTCTGCAGTACCGGTTCGATCCCCGGCTGCTCCCCGGCCACCTGAGGAGGGTCCCACATGGCGCGCAGACCTCTCCTGCCGTCCGCTGCTCCCCTCAGCAGTGTACTTCGGTCCTTCCGCCTGCTCTGCTCCCCGCTCTGGCTCTGGTGAATTCTCTCACCCTCCCGTGCTTCTGACTGTACCCAGTGCTTGTATAAATAAATAAATAAATCTTTAAAAAAAAAAAAAAAAAAAAGAGTTCTGAACCTATAACCTCTACAACAAATACGTGTTGTAAACCAGCACTACTTCAATAAACATAACTGGGTGGGGGTATGGGGGTGGACCACAGGTGACCAAATTAAAAAATAAAGTTACTGTTGTAAGTAAACCACTGTTACTAATGCAAGTATGTCATATCCTTCATGCACCTCGGGATATTGTAAGTAAGCAGTTCAGAAATTTAACATCAGATAGAAATATTGATATTTTTAACACTTCTCTGCCTATGAAAGGAGGTGCTTTAAAGCTAGTTAACACTCTGTCAGACCCTCTGTGAATTGTTTCTCAAGTGGATATGTTATCTTAAAAGCTTTCCTTTAGATTACTAAAGCATTGAGTGAAACCTGTGACTCTAAATTACATCATAGCCAAACTATACCTAGATAATTATTTCAATAGTGACTGAAATTTAATGACAATTTTAGAGAAAAATAAAACCCTATTTTCAAGAATTGATTTTGAAAATCTAAAATAAAAGCAGAAAAATCATTCTAAATAGCTAGGTAGTTTTTGAGCTATTCCTTGGCAGTTCCTCAGGAGCTGGCAAAACTGGGGAACCATATGGGAGAAGAGGTGATTTGGGGTAGGGAAGAGTTGGGGGGTAACACCTCCTTAATCTCATTTAACCAGAGTTACTCCACTTTTATTTGTGCTACATCCTTAAGAAAACACAGCAGATTTTATGTCAAAAATAGAGTTCTAACCGTGAGTTTAAAGCCTTGGCTCTGTAAAGCTGTTGTATCTACCAAAAGGTGGTGCTAACATATTCTGACACCCAAAGACCCAGGATTTCCAACAGTCAGAGCAACCTTCCCTAACAAGCTCCACCTTCTTTTCTCTGTCCATTTTCTAACTTTCTTCCTTTCTTTGCCCAGGCTCCCCATACATCATCTTTTCTCCCATTCCCAATTCTCTATAGCATGAAACTGCTGGACAGTTTTGTTTTGGGGTTCCCATTGCTGTAAGCAAGCATATTAACTATTCTTAAGTTACTTTTCTTCATGGATGGCTGAGTTAATACAGATTTTTCTTAATGATTATTAAGAGCCTTGGCTTATTTTACATAGCCAAGGTAGAGGAGAAGAACAGGTAGAACTACAAAAGAGGTTTCTGCTACAAATCATGTCTGCTACAAATTTATATCCATGTTTATACATGGACATAAATCCCTAAATTTAAGAAAGGGAGTTTTTAACCTTAAAGGGAAACATCTTCAATACCCAGAAGAATGGGTAGGCTATACATTAGGTGAGGAAGGGCTCTCACCATTCTACCCACATAAGTAGAATCTACCAGGAGAGGCCATCCGCAGAAAACACAAACTGAAAGTCTAATGTATAGTCCTGCCCCTAAATACCTAGGTAGGAGACATGCTTATCTCCAAAAAGTGATCCAGAATTACAAAACAAAAAAAAAAAAGTGATCATCAATATAAATTCACAGGGCCTCCCTGGTCGCGCAGGAGGTTGAATGCCGCACTGTGAAGCTGTTTGCAGCCTGTTCGATCCCGGTCAGCCAATGAGAATCCCACATGGCGTGGCAGTCCTCTCCTGTCTCGCCCACTGCTCCCCTCAGCAGTGTATTTCAGTCAGTCTGCCTGTTCTGTTCCCCGCTCTGTCTCTGGTGAATCCTCTCACCCTCCTGTGCATTTGGCCTGTACCCAGCTCTTGTATAAATAAAAAATATATCTTTAAAAAATATATATATATAAATTCACAGAAGAGAAGAAATAGTACATAAGAGCTTAGGTATATAAGTATGGAGGTGGCAGGTGAAATATGTATAGTTAAATAACATTCAATTAGGATTGGAAGTTCTTCCAGAGTAGCTGGGAAAAATTGGCAAAAACAGAGTGGGCCAGAGTATAACTCACGTATTCCACAACCCCTCTGAGGCTGTCAGGCATTGCTTAGATAAGAAAATGGTGGCACAGAAAGCCCAAAAGGCTGGAATCAGGTGCTTTCATAAACACCTGATTAACTCATTCCCTTGTATATAAAAGCACTCTCTTGTGAGTGTCTCATTTAATGCTTACAGCAACCTTGATTGGAACCTACATTTTCCAATTCTTTCCTCTCTAAACTAGACCATACGAAGTCCAGGAAATAAAACCGAAGCTCAAATTCCAACAGAGTGAGGCCCAAGATGTTCAACCCCAGAGATTCTGGTTAGCTTCATGAAACTGGCAAGGGGCAAGGAATAGCCTCCCCTCTATTGGCTTTTATTTTTGTGGATTAAAACTAAAAGGGGGCCTCCCTGGTGGTGCAGGCGGTTGAATGCCGCACTATGAAGCTGTCCGCAGCCTCAGCAGTGCTGGTTTGATCCCTGCCAGCCTCGGAGCAACCCACATGGTGAGCAGATGTCTCCTGTCTCGCCCACTGCTCCCCTCAGCAGTGTATTTCGTCAGTCTGCCTGTTCTGTTTCCCACTCTGTCTCTGGTGAATCCTCTCACCCTCCTGCGCATCTGGCCTGTACTTACCCCAGCTCTTGTATAAATAAAATAAATCTTAAAAAACAAAACAAAACAAAAAACTAAATAAAGCTTTTTTGGTAGAATCTGTTGTTGCAAGATTATAAAATCCAACTTTTACTTACCTTCTCTTTGTGAGGCTCGTGACATGTGTTTCTCAGAAGATGAGTTAGAATCACTATGATGACAGGGTGAACCAGACACCCTAGGACTGGATGAACTTGATGAGGTGGTCAGATCTTGAAAATATAAAAAGTTCTGACAATAAACCTAGCAAAATGCTGGTAGTATATCAGTTTTTTAATCATCTACTTCAATTTGAACATACTGTTAAAATCCATCTTGAACATGGAAAGTATATATCCACATAAAAATGGAAGGAGCACAGTTCTTTGAAGTTTGCTAGTCCTTTTCTAAAATCATTTGCACCTTAAGTGAAATAAAAGTGAAACACAGGAGCTTCTCTGGTTCCCCATCATTTCCTTAGTGAAATGGACCAAGAAAATTTAGTAGAAAAGGAAACTGAGCTATTACCCTGTTGTTTAATGTTAGAACAGGGTCCAAGCAGGCTGTAACTGAAAATATGAATAGATCCTTCTAAAAGCATACTAAAAACTTGTATTGTCATTCTGAAATTATGTGAATACTATTTTTGAAATGCAGTACAAACTTTACATTGAAATCTGTGGAAAAATAAATATCAGGTGTATTATTCCAAATAGCAATCTATTTTCTAGCAGCCCTGTAATATCTGTGGGGACTTCTTATTAATCTAATTTCCATTGATGTTATTAAAGATCAAAGTTACCCTTAGAAGTCAGAGAACATTCTAGATTTTGAGTCTAAAATCCAACTAGACCTTCTAAATCACTATGCTAAAATTTATTATTAGTACTTAACCTACAAATTCTAAAAGGCAATTCTAAATCTAAAGAGGATACTGGCATAATTTTGAAATCCCTTGCTTGCAAATAAAACTTATATTTTTATTTTTACTTTTAGCACTAAAAATGGGCAGCTGTAGAACAATGATGCCTGTACATTCTCAAAGAAGTCAGAAATGGCCCTAAGCACACAGAAGAAAGACTTAAACCATTTGAACTACTTTTTTTTTTTTTTTAAAGATTTATTTATTTATGCATGCAAGAGCTGGGGCACAGGCCAGAGATGTGGAGGGTGAGAGGATTCACCAGAGACAGAGTGGGGAAATGAACAGACAGACTGACCAAAGTACACTGCGGAGGGGAGCAGCGGGCAAGCCAGGAGAGGTATGCTGCGCCATGTGGGTTGCTCCCTGGCCGGGGATCGAACTCAGGCTGCAGAGGCTATGGCTTGCTTCATAGTGCGGTGCTCAGCCCTTTGCACCACCAGGGAGGCCCTTTTTGAATTACTTTCTAATAGCAGTTTATGAACACTTTTAAGTTCAAGTTGCTTATGACTTTCCCCATGGTTCTTGTTCATAAGCACAGTATTATAAACAGTGGATAGTTCCCAGACCAGCCCTCTTTTTTCCCAAAGGTAAATAAAATATAGTCTGTCACATAATGTACATGAAATTATAGAGCATTTTTTTTTTCTGAGCCCCAATTTCACTTAATTTTAGTGGAATCAGCCACAAGAGAAGAAACAAGTCTTTAGCAAGAGGATGTTTAAGGGCCATGAAATTAAGATGGCACTAGGTACCTGTATCTGGACATCTGGAAGTCTAGAATGCAGACTTAAAACAAATACTCTATATTGACTATAACTTAAAAGATCATGGGCCTCCCCAGTGGCGCAGCGGTTGAGCGCTGGGCTGCGAAGCTGCCAGTAGTCTCTGCAGCGCCGGTTCGATTCCTGGCAATCCCTGGCCGCTGGGCGAGGGTCCTACATGGCGCAACAGACCTCTCCTGCCGCCTGCTGCTCCCCTTAGCAGTGTACTTCGTCAGTCTGCATGATCTGCTCTCCCCCCTGGCTCTGGTGAATTCTCTCACCCTCCGGCACTTCTGACTGTACCCAGTGCTTGTATAAATAAATAAATCTTAAAAAAAAAAAAAAAAAAAGTTCTGCTGGGTTCCAGAAAGACTGAAAAAAAGATAACTACCTTGGGCCATCACTAATTTTGAGATATCAGAAACACTGAAGAGAGATTTTCTGACTAGCAGAAATCTAAAAGAAATTTTTTTCAAAGTTAAAAGCTAATGGGCTTTACAGCTAATGGTGGGGCAGGGGTTAAAGTCAGCACTATCAAGCTATTGCCAGTCACCACCTCATGAATTCGATCCCACCACCACTGCATGAATTTGATACCTGGCCAGGGAGCTAAACCACATGGCGCAGCAGACCTCTCCTGTCTTGCCCACTGCTCCCCTCAGCAGTGTGTTTTAGCCAGTTTGCCTGTTTTGCTCCCTATTCTGTCTCTGTTGAATCCTCTCACCCCCTGAATCTCTGGCCTGAGCCCCAGTTCTTATATGCATAAATAAATCTTTTTTTAAAAAAAAGTTAAGAATTATTCTTCCTGGATCATTTGTGACACAGGCACAGGTTAAAGCTATGTCATTATATATAGATTTCATACTTCCTTGGGGAAAAAAGCTCACTGAGCTTCTCAAACTATACGACTCCTATGTCTGAGATTCTTTGGAAAACTCTTTAATCACAAAAGGAAAACTTACCTGAACTTGATGTAGTTCTTCTTGCTCTCAAAATGGGATAGCTGCCTACTTCTAAAGACTTGGTTAAGTCAAGATCATGCAAAATCAAAAGATACCCAGAGGATGTTGAGATCAACATTTTGGAACAATCTGGTGTTAATCTCATCCGCATGAGAAAACGTGTATGGAAGAATTTCTTATGTGGACATCCATCTTCGGTACACCTATAGAAGAAATCAACAAGACTGAGAGTTATAAATACAAGGACTCAATTATAGTTATACTTTGGCCCTTCAATCTAGAATTTACAGTCAATGTATATACTCATCACAATCAACAAGGTTTTTTTTGCTCACCATTCTTTCTTTCGTTGCCTACCTTCCTCTTTAGGTTAATCTTTTCCTCCAAAGTATATATACTAAAAGTATTACTTTGAAGTAAACTCACTTTTTGTTTTGAAAATATTCTACTCTTTTTGGTTAAAGGTTTAGCTGAGCATATAACTTTAGGTTGATGGTTAACTGTTTTTAAATATGAGGATAACATTCTGCTAATTTCTTGCTTCCATTGTTGCTATCAGTCTTGTTACTCTAGTTAATTTATCTTTTTTTCTTCTGACTGCTCTTTTTGTCCTCTTTGGAGTACTTCAGTTTCCCTCTTACATGTGTAAATCTGGACTGCTTTCTATTTCTCTTTACTGGGATTTATTTGACCTTTTAAATTTTATTTTTTTATTTTTATTTTTTAAAGATTTATTTATTTATTTATTGATACAAGCACTGGGTACAGTCAGAAGCACAGGAGGGTGAGAGAATTCACCAGAGCCCGAGTGGGGAGCAGAACAGGCAGAAGGACCGAAGTACACTGCTGAGGGGAGCAGCGGGCCTCAGGAGAGGTCTGTGAGCCATGTGGGACCCTCCTCCAGTGGCCGGGGAGAAGCCGGGGATCGAACTGGCACTAAAGAGGCTGCGGGCAGCTTCGCAACCCAGCGCTCAACCGCTGCGCCACCAGGAAGGCCCTTCTGATTTATTTTTAAGCTGTGTCTAATTAGACTTAACCTGTCAAAAAAAATTTCAATATAAATTTAAATTTAATTTCATATTTTTTCACTTCTTTAAGATACAGGTAAAGTCATCGCAGAATCTTTGCTCCTGTTGTCCAATCTCTAGCTCACTTTTAGCCAGTATCAGCATGGGCTTTTTTTTTTTTTTTTTTAAAGATTTATTTATTTATTTATACAAGCACTGGGTACAGTCAGAAGCGCGGGAGGGTGAGAGAATTCACCAGAGCCAGAGCGGGGAACAGAACAGGCAGACTGACGAAGAAATACACTGCTGAGGGGAGCAGCGGGCGGCAGGAGAGGTCTGTTGCGCCATGTGGGACACTCGCCGGTGGCTAGTGATCGAACTGGTGCTACAGAGGCTGCGGCAGCTTCACTGCCCAGCGCTCAACCGCTGCACCACTGGGGAGGCCCTACTTTAAAATTTGTTTAAAATTTTATTTTAAAATTTGCCTGTTGGAATTTTAGAGGAATGTACTCATCCATACTTTATTTAGATCTTAAAATGACTTAAATGAAGTTATGTAGTTCTCTTCATTAGCATTATATAAATTTTTTTTAATTGTTTGCTGTGATGTATACGAACACTACTGACTTTCATATTGTGATTTCTATCTAGCAATACTGGTTTAACTTTTACAATTCCAGCGATTTGTCAGCAGAATCTCTAGGGTTTTCTATATGGAACAGAATTTGGAAAATTACGGCCTGTGGGCCAAAACTGAACCACTGCCTGTTTTTACTTAAAGTTTGTTGGAACACAGCCACACCCATTCATGTATTATCTGTGGTTGGCTCAGGGACTATGAAATACAAAAACTAAAACATTACATGGTCCTTTATAGAAGCAGTTTGTCACCCCCTGACACAATCATATCATCTGTGAATGGTACTAAGTTTCATTTTTTCCTTTCCAATTTCTATATATTTATTTTATTGTACTAACGAGGACCCTGCCTTCTCCTACTCCAAAACAATGGTGAACAGTAATAGGTAGGTTCTCCTTTCTGACTTTAGAGAGAATGCCTGAGGTTTTTACCTTTTAAAACTGTGCTATGTTAGTGTATACTTTTGATTAGTTTCCTTCTATTTTTAGTTTGTTTTACTTTAAAAAGCTTTGTTGAGGTATCATTTTTTTTTAAAGGAATTTTTTTTTAAAGATTTATTTATTTATTTATATAAGTACTGGATACAGTCAGAGAAGTGCGGGAGGGTGAGAGAATTCACCAGAGCCAGAGCAGGGAGCAGAACAGACAGACTGACGAAATACACTGCTGAGGGGAGCAGCAGGTGGCAGAAGAGGTCTGCGCGCCATGTGGGACCCTCACCCGGTGGCCGGGGATCGAACTGGCACTGCAGAGGCTGCGGGCAGCCTCGAAACCCAGCACTCAACAGCTGTGCCACCGGGGAGGCCCTATTGAGGTATAATTTATATAGGATAAAATTTACTTATTTTTAAGAGTAAATTTTATTGTTCACAGAGTTGTGCAATCATCAACCAATTCAGTTTTAGAACATTTTTAGTAGTCTTTTTTGAGGTTCATCCATGTTGTACTGTAGAACATACTTTGTTTCTTTTCATTGTCAATGGTATTATATTGAATAGATATACTGCATTTTGTTAATACACTTACAGAAGAGAGATACTTGGATTGAATATTTTTCTAGCTACTATGAATAATGCTATCATAAGCATTCACACAACGTATGTGTTCATTTCTTTTGGGTATGTATCTGAGAGTGGAATTGCTAGGTTATATGGTAATTCTGCTGCCAAATTGTTTTCTAAAGTGGCTGTACTATCTTACATCCCCACCAAAAACATAAGAGGTTTCAGTTTCTTCACAATCTTGCCAATATTTGTTATTATCTTTTTTTAAAACTTTTTAAAAAGATTTATTTATTTATGCATACAAGAACTGGGGTACAGACCAGAGGTGTGGGACGGCAGGGGTGGGGGGCGGTGAGAGGACTCACCAGAGATAGAATGGGGAATGCAACAGGAGGATTGACTGAAATACACTGCTGAGAGGAGCAGCGGGCGAGGCAGGAGAGGTCTGCTGTGCCATGTGGGTTGCTCCCTGGCCGGGGATCAAACTCGTGCCGCACTGGCTGCAGATAGCTTCATAGGTGTGTTTAACCCCCTGAGCCACCAGGGAGACCCCTCATTGTGGTTTTGATTTGTATTTCCCTAATGATGTTTAGTATCTTTTCATTTGCTTATTAATTATTTGTATATCTTCCTTGATGAAATGTCTTTGCAAATCTATGCAAACCAGTTTTTAAACTTTGTAACATATATAAGTGTATACATGTAAGTGAATTGCAAGATCTCTATATTCTGGACACAAATCCTTCCTCTGTTAGGATTTACAAATATTCTTTCCCTTTCTGTAATTTTTCTTTTCACTTTCTTAATGGTGTCACAGAAAGGTTTTAATTTTAATAAAGTCTATCTTACCAATTTTTTTATCATTTGTGTTTTGGTGTATGAATATTTACAGAAAATTGCCCACCATGTTTTCTTCTATAGGTTATTTTTTTATTTTTTTAAAGATTTATTTATTAATGCGTGCAAGAGCTGGGGTGTAGGCCAGAGGTGTGGGGTGGAGGGTGGTGAGAGGATTCACGAGAGACAGAGTGGGGAGCATTACAAGTGGATCTGCTGAGATACACTGCTGAGGGGAGCAGCAGGCGAGACAGGAGAGGTTTGCTGTTCCATGTGGGGGTTAGCTTCAGTGGGGGAGGGATCGAACTGGTGCAGTGGCTGCAGATAGCTTCATAGTGCTGAGACTTAACCCCTTGTGCCACCAGGGAGGTCCATGTTTTCTTCTAAACTTTATAGTTTTAGATCTTACATTCAGGGTGAATTGTATTTTGAGTTCATTTTTGTGATGTGAGATAAGGATTGAAATTTATCTTTTTGCATATGGATATCTAGTTTTTCAAGTATCACTTATTGAAAAACACTATTTTTTCCCCAAACTATTAACTTACCTTGGTACCTCTGCTGAAAATCAGCTGATCATAAATCCAAGGATTTATTTTTGGATTCTCAGTTCTGTTCCCTCACTTTATATGCTTATCCTATGTCATCACCACACTGTCTTAATTACCATGGTTTTGTATAAGTCTGAAAATTGGGAAGCATGTTTTCCAACTTTGGTTCTTTTTCAAGATTGTTTTGGCTATTCTGGGTCATTTGCCTTTCCATGTAAATTTTAGACTCAGTTTGACAATTTATTCAGAAAAGGCATGTTGAATTTTGATAGGAATTAATTTTTTTTTAATTTTTTTTTTTTTTAATAGAGGCATGCTTTTTTTTTTTTATTTATTTGTTTGCTGGTTTGTTTGTTTTGTTTATACATGCACTGGGCACAGTCAGAAGCGCGGGAGGGTGAGAGAATTCACCAGAGCCAGAGCAGGGAGCAGAGCAGGCAGAAGGACCGAAGTACACTGCTGAGGGGAGCAGCGGGCGGCAGGAGAGGTCTGCGCGCCATAGGAATTAATTTTGATACAGATTAATTTGGAGAGAATTGCCATCTTGATGATATTGACTCTTTCAATCCATGGAACATGGAATTAATCTATCCATCCACTGACATCTTCCATTTCTCCCAGCAATGTTTTATAGTTTCATGCTTAAAACCATAGTTTTATACTTTTATAGATGTGTAAGTCTTGTATTTCTTTGATTAAATCCACTAAGTCCTTTATTCTTTTTTGATGCTAATATAAGAGAAACTGTTTTCTCTATTCATTTTTGGATTGCTCATTGCTTTATAAGTAAAAATACATTTAATTTTTTTTGCAAATCTTGCATATCTTGTGACTTTCCTGACTTACTTATTAGTTCTAGTAGTTTTTTTGGCATGTGTGTTGTGGATTTCTTAACATTTTATATATATAAGATCTTATTTACTGCATATGAAGGCAGACATTTTAGATGGAACAACCGGTCTCATTCTTAAAATTGTCACATGCATTGCAGGATGTTTAGAAATCTGATCCCTGCTGACTAAATACCAATAGAAATCTTCCCCTCTTCTCTCATGGTAGCAACCAAAATTATACCAAACATTATTTCCAAACAGTCCCCTAGGGATCAGTACTAATGCAATCAAGAACTACTCTGTCAATGCATGAAAGCAAAGTGCAAAAATTACAAAATATTTATAATGCAAGGATCAAAGAATAAAAAAAATGACAGTTCTACAAGGAAATAACTTTTTCATTAAATTCTAAAAACTTATAAACTAATTTTCATCATTAACTATACTACTTAGTCTACTTTGCATACAATTTTGTCCAGATTTTTTAGTTGTAATATATGACTAAATGCAAGTAACAAAAGATGGAATCACCTCTTAAAGAAATATGAAAACTAGGACAGAAATTTGTTTACCATTAAAAAAATTTGTTTTTTCATAATCCTAGCAGGGTTTCCTATTCACAAACCTGTTGGTGTCCCAAATAATGACATTTCCATCAAATCCTGATGTTACTAAGAGTCTTGTATTAGTATCATATTCGATGTTCTTCACCCAGCTAGTATGACCATGTAAAGTGCATACTTTGGTGTTCAGTTTTCTCAGATCCCACAGTGCTATTGTAGTGTCATCAGAACAGGTAGCGAACAGCCGGTTATCAAGAAATCTACAAGGCAGAAAAGAAAAACTCGTTCATTTAATCTTTTATTACCAAAAAATGGACTTAAGAAACAGTCTATATTGCCTAATCAAGAAAGGGAAAAAAAGGGTGGGGGGATAAAACTCACTGTATAAACCCAGTTGACTCTGACATACAATAAATACTAAGTATAACATAATCACCAGGGAAGGATACTAAGATTTATTTATTTATTTATTTTAAAAGATTTATTTATTTATGCATACAAGAGCTGGGGTACAGGCCAGAAGTGTCGGGGGTGAGAGGATTCACCAGAGACAGAGTGGGAAACAGAACAGGCAGATTGACCGAAATATACTGCTGAGGGGAGCAGCAGGTGAGTCAGGAGAGGTCTGCTGTGCCATGTGGGTTGCTCCCTGGCCAGCTGGGGGGATCAAAATCGTGCTGCAGAGGCTGCGGAAGCTTCATAGGTTGCATCTTAACCCCTTGTGCCACCAGGGGAGGCCCAAGGATACTATGATTTAATGAGGACTATATTGCAATGTTATTCATTTACTTCACATTATTGATTTTTTTTTTAATTTTATAGAGGCATGTTTATTTATTTATTTGTTTGTTTGTTTTTTGTTTATACAAGCACTGGGTACAGTCAGAAGCGCGGGAGGGTGAGAGAATTCACCAGAGCCAGAGCGGGGAGCAGAGCAGGCAGAAGGACCGAAGGACACTGCTGAGGGGAGCAGCGGGCGGCAGGAGAGGTCTGCGCGCCATGTGGGACCCTCCTCAGGTGGCCGGGGAGCAGCCGGGGATCGAACCAGCGCCGCGGAGGCCTCGGGCAGGTTCGCAACCCAGCGCTCAACTGCTGCGCCACCGGGGAGGCCCACACACATTATTAATTTTTACTTTGAACTGGAAATAGGTGTGGGTGTTTGGTGAACAGTGCCAAAAGATAGAACTTTAGAATCTATAAATGCAAATGGTGAGAGACAATTTAATAGGAGACAGAGATTGTGAAGACTTGATTGCTGCAGGAGACATGTTAAAAGTAAAGGGTTCAAAATTACAAGAAATGTTTACTGCTATAAATAATGTATCTTTCTACTTACAACACATTTATATGAAAAAATCGCTATTAAAATGAAATTGCTGGGGCCTCCCCGCTGGTGCAAAGGGTTAAGTCCCAATACTATGAAGCTATCCGCAGCCGCTGCCGCATGAATGAGTTCAATCCCCAATCCTGATCCTGGCCAGGGAGCTGACCCATATGGTGCAAGTGCAACAGATCTCTCTCCTATCTCTCCCACTGCTCCTCTCAGCAGAGAATTTCAGTTAATCTGCCTGTTCTGCTCCCCACTCTGTCTCTGGTGAATTCTCTCCCCACTCTTCTCCAGCCCCACACCTCTGGCCTACACCCAGGTTCTTGTATGCATAAATAAATCTAAAAAAAAACCAGGGGCCTCCCTGGTGGCGCAAGAGGTTGAGCACAGCACTGTGAAGCTGTTTGCAACCTCTGCAGTGCAAGTTCGATCCCCGGCCCCACATGGTGCTGCAGCCCTCTCCTGTCTCTCCTGCTGTTCCCCTCAGCAATGTATTTCAGTAGATCTGCCTGTTCTGCTTCCCACTCTGTCTCTGCGGGTCCTCTCACTCAACCCGCCCCAACCCGCCCCCACGCCTCTGGCCTGTGCCCCGGCTCTTGTATGCATAAATGAATGGATCTTTAAAAACCAAAAAAAACAAACAAAAAAAAAAACCCCGCATTTCTTTTTTTTTTTTTTGAAAATAATTCTTTTTTTTTAATTCTTTTTTTTTTTTTAAATAGAGGCATGTTTTATTTATTTATTTGTTTGTTTGTTTTGTTTATACATGCACTGGGTACAGTCAGAAGCGCGGGAGGGTGAGAGAATTCACCAGAGCCAGAGCGGGGAGCAGAACAGGCAGAAGGACCGAAGTACGCTGCTGAGGGGAGCAGCGGGCGGCAGGAGAGGTCTGCGCACCATGTGGGACCCTCCTCCGGTGGCTGGGGAGCAGCCGGGGATCGAACCGGCGCTGCAGAGGCTGCGGGCAGCTTCGCAACCCAGCGCTCAACCGCTGCGCCACCGGGGAGGCCCAACCCCGCATTTCTTAATGGAAAAAAGTCTATCACCAAAAATCACCACTGTTATATTTAACCTGATTCCTGTTTTTCAAACTAAATATGACCTCATAAATATTTTGTCATGTCTTTAAAGATTTAGCAACAAAATCTCAATGACTGAACAGCATTCACTATAAGAATAAGCTGTAATTTTTAAAAAATTTATTTTTGTGTAGAAGAACTGGGATGTAGGTCAGAGGTGCAGAGGGTGAGAGAATTCACCAGAGACAGAGTCGGGAGCAGAACAGGTGGATTTAATGAAAAACACTGTGGAAAGGAGCAGTGGGCAAGACAGGATTAGGTCTGCTGTGTCATGTGGGTTTGCTCTCTGGCCAGGGATCCAACTCAGGCGTTAGTGGTTATAGCACTTAATCTCTAGGCCACCAGGGAGGCCCCCTGTAATCTTTTCTCTTTTTTAAACTAAGATGCAATTGTTAGATGTTTAGGTTGTCTCCAATTTTTTTTTCTATTAAAAACAAAATGATGACCCTCAGAACAGTCAAATATTAATCACATTCTTAGTTCTTTCCAGAAAATTTCTTTAGTTATTGCCAGTAAATTGTATTTCTAAGTAAAAAGGGGATTTAAAAAAATGTTTGCATTAAAATGTGTACATATATATCTTTAAAAAAACATATGAATATATAGTTTCAGCAGCAGTTAGGTGCATGTCCATTTTTCCAAACCCATGCCATGTAGATATTTTTTGATTCTGTTAAGTGCTAGATTGTGGGGGAGGGGAATCATTGTTAAAGCTGAAATTTGTTTCTAGTAAAATTGAGCTTTTTTCACATTTATTGGAATATTATATATTTTTGTGAATTGTTACTCATCTTTCTTGCTGCTGTTCCTATTGCAGTATTATTTATATTATTGAGTGATAAAATTGCTGAAGATGCGCTTCAATTTTTCAAACATCTATCTTTGGATATAGTTTGTTTTCTTACTATATCAAAAATTTAATTCTTATTAAATACATTTTTCCCTTACAGGTTTACTGGTACATGAGACTTCAAAATAAAAATATTTCAGTGACTTCTATACCTGACATGAATTATATAGGAAAAATACATAATGACAAAGGCTTCTGGAGAGTCAAACTTTTAAAATGAACTGATCATCATCATAAAAGCATCTCTACACATTTGGAAAAAAACCCCACAAAACTAAGTTATTTTATTCAGTCTACAGAAAATACTTAAATCACATATACAGTCAAAGTCCTAGTGGGTTTATATTGCTGTAAGCCACAGTGGTCTACCCTGAATGCTTTCAAGCAAGAAAGTGACTTACAATAAGTTATAAAAAGATCTCTAAAAATCTTGGATATCTTAAAAAATAAAGTGGGGAATCAGTCTAAAATTTTTATCAATAAGGTCATTAGAAAATTATCATTATTGTTCGAAAGGATATTTTTATTTAAGAATGCATAAAAGAATATAATCTTGGAACAAAAATTAACAATTTTAAATTGAGTAAGTTTACTTTAAAGAAAAATTCAACATTTTGACGTTAATTTTCTCATTTCTGTCTCACAGTATTACCTATTAAAATTTTGGTATTATGGTCTCACTTATAGCAGGAATTTAGAAAGCCTAAATAAGGGACCAGGAAAAAGACTAATTAATACAAAGTAAAAATCAAAATCAACGAGCAACTATAAACCAGAGACACACTGGGGGGGGAGGAGCGGGGAGAGGAAGGACTAGGGTCAAAATAAGGGGGGGTGCAATTGTATGGAGAATATAACCAAAATGAAAATGCATACATTGTGCAAAAATGATGTAAGAATTATATAAAACAAAATATTTTAAAAAAATAGTAAAATTAAAAAAAATTTGGTATTGAAGAATCATTGGTAAACAAAGTAAATAAATTATAAAAAATTAAGAACTTGTACTATAAGACCAGTTAGAGTTCCCATAGCAATTTTTATCCCAAAGTAAGTGAATATAAAGTATCAGACAAGTCTTTGGATATCTGGGCCAGCTCTCTCAAATTAAAACTCAGCCTAGCCTAATAAATTAATAATTGTAAAGTATTTGTAATTGTATAGTCCCTAAAAAATAGGAGACACTCTTTCATGCACTGTTAAATCTATGAGTTTCTGAATTACAGAATTTCTCCGTATGTCCCCATCAAACCACAACATATGACTACAACAGCTCTAGATAAAAAGCCATCTAGATAAATTGAGGTCTTTATTATCAAAGGGTAACTAATAAAAGATGATAGCAATTGAAAATGAATTCTCTTAAAACAGGTACCAACATTTTATTGTACAAGGGAAAGAATATGTTGAGTCTTTATTTTAAAAAAAAAAAAAAACTTACATTTACTTGATGCAAATATTTAGAATAATTTAATTTTTAAAATAATCTTTCAATGAAATTAATATTAGCAGAATATGACATCTTATTTCACATCTGAGTTTTGTACTACAATAAAAAAGAGCATCCTTTCCGTATAATATTCAACATCTTTTTTTTTTTTTTTTAAGATTTATTTATTTTTTTATTTATACAAGCACTGGGCACAGTCAGAAGTGCGGGAGGGTGAGAGAATTCACCAGAGCCAGAGTGGGGAGCAGAGCGCAGAAGGACCGAAGTACACTGCTGAGGGGAGCAGTGGGCGGCAAGAGAGGTCTGCGCGCCATGTGGGACCCTCCTCCAGTGGCCCTGGAGCAGCCGGGGATCGAACCGGCGCTGCAGAAGCTGCGGGCAGCTTCCCAAACCAGGGCTCAACCGCTGCGCCACCAGGGAGGCCCAATATTCAACATCTTTGTCAATTCTCCCAAGGGCCTTTCCTTAGTCCTGTCAGATATTTACATATTTTTTGGAGTATGTATCATGTCATCATTTCTGTCATGTTCTTTTCCCTAAGATATAACTAGTCT